AAATACTAAAAACAGTAGAATTTACAATATAAGCACTGTTGCCAACATGTTTATAGATGATGGTACGGAACCCTTAGTGTGCGAGATCTTGACCGGTCTTTATAACCATGTATAACTAGCTTTATAGCTTTATAAAAACCCACTTTATCCCCATAATGCAGTCAATATCTTTAAGTATCAAATTTTTTTGCAGTAGTGTTTATTGCAAAACATTTAAGTCTTAGAACCCATTAATGGCTGAGATATAGCAATTTTTCCACCACTCTCCTCCACATTTTTTTTCGACATTAATAAGTACAGAAAAAAAACTTTCAAACGCCTGTAATTAGTTTAAAATAGTCAAAATGTTATTAAAACTGTACCATATACCTACAGAAAATATTAATATTAAAATTTGGTAGACCTTTTATGTAGGTATCTATGGTCATTTGTTTTGTAAGTATAACAAAATAACCAAATTATCAAACTATAATAAAGTTACTGTACTATTAAATTATTATTAAGTTACTATTAAATTATTTTTATCAGAGTTTGAAGTTAAGTTTAAATTTATTTAACATTAGATATTCACCTGTAAATTACAAAATAATATAATACTACGATTTCCTTATTTTCTTGTAATTCAAAAACGAATAAAAGTAGATACATGAATTTTTCAAATTATCTATACCATCACAATTTCAAAATATTTAAACTCTTTTTTATTTATAGACATATGAAGAAATGTTTATAATTTCATAATATTTTTATAGTTTAAATGTATGGAATGTTTCATTTTTATTGGTTACGTTTTCATTATTATGGTCTTTCGAAAATTTTGATTTTATTAATTTTGTTCTTTATAAAATTAAATTTTATATTAATTTTATAATGATAGATACTTTGTGTATTAATATTATTTTAATAATCATATTGATATATGCATAACATTTTATCATAGTACTACTATTCAGAATTAGGAAAACCAAAATTTACCGAACTAGTGACATTTAAACATGATAATGGTAAATGTCATCACTTAAATAATCGTATTAAGACTAATGACTATATTAATAACATTATAGTTTAATGAAGTTGTTGACTTAACACCAACAGGCAACAGCTAAACTAACACTAAACAACAATTTTACTGATTGAAATTAGTCATAGAGCGTCATACAGCTTTAGTCTTAATAGGGCATGCAGCGTATGTTTTACGCGGAAAAGTGTCTAGATTAATACATTATACAACTATATTTTCTGGTTTAAAATAAATTAAATGAAGTGCATAATTTTGCATTTTTATACGCATAATTTTATTGGATATTTTGGGTTTCATTAGTGCATTACAATCCCAGCTATAGTTATGACTTTTTATCGTTATCATTTTGAAAACAATAACTATAGGTACTGCAGTAACAAAACTGCTAAAACTTGCAATAAAAACTGTTTAAACTCAAAGTAATAGTTTTATATAAGTACTCACTTTGTTTAACAAACATACTTTTAGATTTTTACAACCATATACCTACCAAATATTATGTATACCACCTAATTTTTGAGGATTTTCAATATTTTGAAATATATAACATATTTATATTGGTAGAAATGATATTTCTTTTTACATGCCGAAACAAGTTAAGTTGTATAGTTAAACTTTTTAGATGTAATTCCCATTAGGCATGGAGGAAATTGTTTAAACCAAATAACGTATTGTTACTACCTAACACTTCTATTTTTTATTAGACAACTACAAGTTACAATCATAGTAAACATAAACTATCAACTAATGTTTTTTATACATCAATAGACAATAATTAATATGTGACCAAAAATAAAAGAAGTTGAAGTTTAAAAAAATTGTGAAGATATTGATATAATCTCATCGTTTTGTTTTAGACTACCAACGACATGTTTCCTTCTTCATCTTCTACGAAAGATGGTAAATCATTATTCAACCATCAAAAGGCGGTGGACAAAACTGTGTCTGATTGGGATAAGACTAGAGTAGATAGGAAGAAAGCAGAAGCGAAACTTGCAAATATTTCACCCACACGGTCCACAATGTGACCGAAGGATGCCAAGTCAAGTTTTAAAAAACCTCCTAGTCGACAAAACTAGTGCCTATATAATTTTAAATTATATTATATTATTATATTATTCTTTCATTTTCTTTTTTTGAGTTATTCATTTAAAACAATATTAAAAAATATTATTGTCGTAATTATTACGAATTACATTTAAAAACATTTAAAAACCGTATTAATATAATATCATGTCGTATTAATAACAACTGTCAACTATTGTTGTAAGTACGTCACGTTTTGAATAAAATATGTCACCTTATTTATTAAACGTGAGGTACCTACCTATTATATTTTCTTTATTTCTACTGCTTTATATATGTCCTTTGAAATAACGGTAGGGTAATTTTGATTTTAATATAATATGTTTATATGTGTGTAACCAGCTTAGTGGTTTTTATTAAGAATTATATCGATTTCATTGATTAAAATTAAGTCATTGTGAATTTCGTATGTTATTGAATACCATTATCTAGAAACCCAAGTTCAATCTTGATAAGAATGTTAATCTCACATACCATAGTGTTCGAACAGAGCCTAAACAGATATAGTTACTTAAATATATGGACTAATATTCGAGCCTTTTATTTTATGAGTAAAAACTTTTGCATAAATAGGGAATACCGAAATCTGTTAAGAGTTGTTTTATGAATTTATAATGGGCATAAAGTTCATAATTATTCGTTCCAAATTTCTATATAAATTTAATATTGTTATAAAGGTATACATAGTATTTAATTTTTTTGTTAATTGTATTATAACTTTACTATAGTAATTGGATGGATTATTAAGTTAATTATATTAAACAATTTAAAATATAATATTTACAATATAGGTAGTTATATTTTATAGGTTTGTCAACAAATGTGATATGAGTGAATATTATGTTATATAACAAAAGCATTTTTGAGATTATGATTGCCTTGCCATGGAAGATGATTTATTTGTTTATTTATTTATGTGCACACATTTTATTTTAAACATGTGATATGAAAAAGTTCTAATCCAATTTTTTCCTCAATTTTTTAATATATTTTTTACAATGTCCTATAAGCTACTTAAGCTTAATCCATGTTTCAAATTAATCATATTCAGCTATTTGCAAGCACGTGTGTATTATCAATTTAAATTTAGGGTGTATAAAATAATTTTATCGAAGATTAATTGCTTTATTATGCAGTAATGTTATTAAAAATGTAATCATATCTATTTGATGACATTCATTATTCTCATGTTCAAATGTCACCGCTTTCTTAAATGTTGGTATTCTAAATACTATTAATTTTATAATGAAATAGTTTGCATATCGATATAATTATTAATTATCATAGTTTTTATTATTATTCAAACAATATTAAAATAATAAGTATTTTTATTGTCATTATAACGTTTAGTTCTTATGAATACCCAAATTAATTAAAGCAATTACATTGAAATACAATAATAATTATCGTATTCAAACTTCAAATAAATGACGAAAAAACCACGATGTGAAATTACTGGATATTTCTAATTATGGCTACCAAAGTATCAAATATAGATGAAATTTTCTAATCCCCTAAGAAATATAGTCAATACATGATTTTGATCTTATTATTAAATCGAATTACGATAATATTGTTGTGAAAATAGCTCGTTCGTTTTTGACTATAGGTATTAATAATTGTTAGTACTTATTTTACAATTTAGCTACAAATATTCATTTTTTCTAAACACGAAGGCTCCCGGGTTTGATGCCTTGCGGCTACAACCGTGGAACTCACATTGGCGCTGTGCGCTAGTCGAGAGCCACGGAGGTTCACGCCCGGCGTTCGGCAGATAGTTACCCGCCGGCCGTCGGCCGCGCGTCGTCTAAGGACCACTAGCACCGGGCGCACTCCAGTTCCCACCGTTGGCTGAGGCGTGCACGTGCCCTTCGCCACCCTGGTCGGGTCGCAAGCTATCCTCATTGCTTCCCGTTTTTGGTCACGGGCAACCTCCGGTGCATATAGCCCCACCGGTAGGCTGGGTGGGCGCTAAGGAGTTTCTCACACGGCAGCCTTCCCCTAGACCGAGCTTTGGTGTTTTAACCACAAGGTTAGCTCCGGCTAACAGCCACTCCGAAACCAAACCGCCGTCGGTCGCGCCACGACCGAGGCCGGTGCACGACCGCCGTGTGAGTGCATGACGTCAATCAACGCGACGCCGCGGGGCCCCCCCACATCCCGAAGTACCATTCACGCCCCCGTTAGGAAGGCACATCAATGGTGGGATGTTCAGACCGAGTTTCGTTGGCTGAGAGCCTCAGCTGTGACCCTACCAAGATTCGGGTCATGTACCATGGGCTCACGGTGGGCCCTAACCAGCGGCGATCGCCGCCGGCGCGGTGGCCGCAACCCCCGAGTTAGAGGCTCGGTAGCCTGGTCCCTTTTAGTCGCCTCTTACGAAAAGCAGGGAAGACTGTCGCTGAATTCTCGACGGCCCCAGTAACAGGACCGAGCTCCTCGCCCCTGGCGTATGAGCTCGCCCCTGGTCAGGACGCACTCGAGCGTGCCTCACCACTTGTGCCACTTATGCCGTGCGTGCTCATCTGACTTTGAAAGAGACTTTGCAAGAGACTTTGCACTTACACCGACTGGTGCGGCTGCGTCCTGACCTTAACAGATGTCTTCATCTTCTTTATCTATCCTCTCTGTAACGCAGGCTGTCGTGTGCGAATGTTTGTACTGCTTCGTACGTTCTTCGGTTCTTAAGGAAGGCCCCATCTCTTGGCGGCCATCCTTCGCCTTCTTCACTGAGAGCTCTTGATAGCATCTGGTTATGGCTTACTAGTGTGTCCCTCTGAATGCTACCCAAGAGTTTGATTCATTTCATAATGCTGCATGCCTTCCGCCATATTTCCGCCGCATATGTTATGCGTGGCATGAAGACGGCAGCGTATATAGTCCTTGCGGCGTTTCAGCCCATGCCCCAATTGGCTGACGTCACGCTCCTTAATCGTGTGAACATTTCCTTATTCTTGTCTTTCAGGGATAGCACGTGGTCCCAGTAACTCTGTTTTGGGTCCAGAGTTACGCCAAGGTACTTTACTGTTTTGCTGACTGTTATACTAGCCGAGTCTGGTCTTGACCCGAAACCCACTGAATAGTTCGGCTTTAGTGCTCTTTTAATTGACATTAATTGCGATTTCCCTGGTGAGAACTTTAGGTCGTAGATCCTCGCCCAATCTAGTAAGCCAATCTAGAACCAATCTAGAACAGTTGTAACTTTTTTGTTATTTTTGAAACAGATGCTTCATATTATATACAAAGAGCTTCAAAGTCTGACAAGTATTACAGCTAGCTTACATTTATAACATTATCGTCCTATATTAAGGTGTTTTCACCACTACCTATACATCATGCTAAATAATTTGAAATGCTCTGTCTCAAGAAGTAGTATAGTTAGTAGAATCGATGAGCTCTGAAGGTGGTGGTGGTGGTGGTGGTGGTAGATGTGTAAAGGTTTCCTTGTATATGTTCCGCTGAATTTATGAAATCAGCAACGCTATGGCCGATAACGTGAAATCGGAAACTTGGTTACCAAAATCACGAATCCGGCAAATTTTGATTTATAATTTCACGAACTAGGCAGACTTTTTTCTGTCGAATGCATGAATTTGGTAACACATTATTATGACATAATTACAAATAGTAGTACCTGCTGTACGAACTGCATATCAAAAAAGTGCACATTGAAACAGTAGCCTTCTGGCTCGTTTCGTGGGAAGTGAAATAATAATACTAAAGCTATCGGTATCACTTCTTCTGTTTATTTCTATATAAGTATATATACAGTTAATGTGGTATAGGGGGGTCAGTCCGCTAGCACGTCAGCCGGTAAGGCGTTCCGTCACGACGGGCTATAAGCTCCGTCCTATTTACAATATGGGTCGTAGGTATGGTTGTATGACATACAGCGAGGGATGAGGGGTCAACCCCCCGGATAGTATCTAGCTATGAAGCGACTGCTATCGTGAATCGGACCCGGGAAGGCAGGCTCTCAAAAGCGGCCGAGGGAGATCGGGGACGTAACTGCGTGTTCTGTCGTGGGCTCGTTCGTCGCCCTGGTCTGGTCTGTGGATTGCAACGCCGGTCCTTGTTCGGTCTCTCGTCGATGCAACCGTTGGACTACGGGTGCTCGTTGCTTCCGTCGTTGCTCCTTCGGGCAGTTGTTTAGCTGCGGTTTCGCTCCGTACGGAGGGAGTGGGTTCGTTCGGCGTCTCCGGCGATGTGGCTTCCCAACTGCTGGTTGCAGCTAATCGTCGTTCGCTTCAGTGGTCTTCCTGTCTTCGTTTCTTTGTACTGAGATACTGGTGTGTTCTGGTAGAAGAGGTAATGTTGATTGAAGACTGAAGAAGATTATTGTGGCATTGCATTGCATTGCATTGCATTAAAAGGGATGGCTATGCCGTTAACTATTCCATGCTTTGCCTCTACTAGTGGATGGAAATTAAAAAGAAATGGTTAGATTTATTGGTCTGCCCAAGAGAGTGGGTAGGGTTTCAATTTACGTTTAGTATTTGGGGGAGGGAGTGTTTTGCCTAGAAGTCGGATGTGAGCATGATTCGAGAAAGAATTATTGTAGAACATTGATTTGGTTTGGGAACGAATGGAGTTTTGATTATTGTGGTCGGGAAGCGACCGGTATATATCCCGTGCGCCGTACCGACTAGTAAACTAGCGTGTGTGCCACCGTAATGCTTGTGTTTACTGTCGGGACGGGTTTGTGGTTTATTCATTGGGTTTTTTGGTTACAGCCATGGGGAGGGTTTCGTTAGATTCGTCCTAATCTCCCCTATCCATGGCTGTGCTTTGTTAAGTCGTTAACCACTTTGAAATCACTCATATTTAGTAGTACAGTTCTGGTTACTTTGATTACTTATATGGCGCGTTATGATTGGTCGATATTGTGTAGTCCTGAAAAGGACTGTTTTAGTTTTACTCCGTTACAACATGCATGAAAAATGACATGATGTGTATTCGTCGTTCCACCCCGGGCCATAGTTGTCAAAACGTATAAATATAAAATAACTAAAAAAATAATATAATTTCGATTTGTATTTTACTTTTTTGTACGCACATAATTTATTATTACAATTAGATTTTGTTATATTTCCAGTGCTTTATGTAAGATCATAATTGTAACACATTCATTTATTCGGTGTTGGTATCTGTCATCCACTATTCGGGAGGGGTTTTCCCGATGTACATAGTGTGCGTGGATTGTTGTTGGTCTAGTTCCAATTATATACATTATCATTTTTAATAAATTGTATGTGAAGCAATTCAAAATATCTTTATATAAATAACCAATGGTGTTGTAAGTACCTACCGAGCAGTATTGAGAAGGAACGAAGATTGGAGAAATCTTTTTAAAATACTGGAACGAAGAACGGGAAACATTTCCTATTTTTAAGGAACTTGAACAAACATTTCCGTTCGTCAAATTATGAAATAAAAAATTTAAGTATGAAACGCATGTTATTTTTAAAAATAATATTTTCTAGAATATATTATAGAATCTGGGTTGAATAAACTCCCACCAGCAGAGGTAACGAAAAATAATTAGCCGATTATTTCTTGTTTAAAAGTGGTCCTCAAAAAACACACATTGACGACTCAGCTCGTAAAAAAATGTAAAAAAGACGGGAACGGGATCCTTCTTCTCAACCAGTAAAGGGAACGATTTTCTTTTTAAAAGGAACATTCCCAACACTTCAGATTACAAATACGAGTAGGAGGCCAAAAATAATACAAATTATAATAAATAAGTTTGTTTTGTGTTAATATCAGATGAAATCAAAACAAACTAATTCATATTAAATAAATATAAAAATTCGTCTTACACAGTAATCAAATTAAATTAGATAATAGATTTTTTTTACCATTTACCCGACATTAAAAATTGATATAGACATTAAATATTCTACTTTAGTATCTTCACTCTGAATATTGGACAAAATATAAAATCCTATGAGCAACCTGTAATCATGAAATGTACTTGCGGAAAAAGGCAAGTATTTTCAATATTGTTGCATTATAATACATGGGAGTATACGTAACCGACAAAGCCAAACACCACTGACATCCTGCTGTTTGTATTATACAATTCTTATATTTTACAGTTATTACTTATTCAGTATTCTTCAAATGAAAAGAGTAATTTGAATAAATTACATTGAATACAGTATAGCCCGGTATAGCGTCACATTTTAATATTTTATAGTATATTATTATAACAATATTTCATTACCAAAAGATGGGCAGGAAAAATGGCCCACGACAGTGGTGTATCTAAATAGCCCACCCAGGACCCCGTCTTAGGATAATTTCATTTTTGAAATGTAAAACAAAAAACATTTTCAGACAAGTTTACTGCTTCTGGGCATATTAAATTTTAAAACAATACGAAGTAAAGATTTGCATCGAACAAATTCAATAAAATGAAAAAAATTACAATGACAGAAGTAAGATCCAATTTTCTACCGCTGAAACCTGCACCCTCAAAGTTGTCAATCGAAGCACTTATACTCCTCTATCCAAAATGTGTGACAGAAACTAAAAAATGAAAAAATAAAAATATCACAAACAATATCATTGTAAAATGTATTAGTACAATCATCGCTCCGCTCAGAATCTAAATATCCAATATTATTTTCTAAGATAATAATAAACTGTATACTGTCCTTTTCGTGATTAAATAATCGCCTAAAAATAACGTTATACAACTGCAAGTATTCAATATAATGGTGTTATACATTATAATATTATGATATAGGTGATAACGGTGTACTTAAATTTTACACTTGAGTAGTTGAGTGTATTTGAGATCACGCTATAAACCGTCACTGCACGGCGCATATATAACGCGTGACTATTCACTGTGGTGCCTACTTAGCCGTGGTGAATTTAGGGAGGTACTTGGGAGTTGAAGCAACCACCGTTCCGCATTGTGAACTTTTTTTTTTTAATATAACACCACACAGACCACATACTTATAACAACTAGATAAGCAACTCTTATATAATTTACATCCCTGTTGTCTGTTTGTAAAAATTGTATTTATTATACAAAATGTATTAGGAATACCATAGGTTTTAATAGTAAAACAAAATAATAAATATAAAATATATTTTTTTTGAACAATATAGGTATAGAAATAATAAAATGCAATACAACATAAATCATAATTAATTTTATTTATCATATTATAATAAAATACCATACAATTACCAACCAACTTTCAGGCTTCAACTGATGACAAGTGAGTGGTGTAGACTACGTACTACCAAAATATAGGGTATTTTCGTTTTTACTCCGAAGTTGTTCATGATTAGTAGGTACTTAAGTACCTTTATTATCAACATAGCACCCACAATAAAAAAATCCTAGATCCGTCAATACTATCGTGGCATGATGATCGTGAAAAATGCTATTGAAAAACGAGAAAAAAATCCTCGTTGGCTTATGGTATAACCATGTTATATTATACGATATAGGTATACTTGAATTTCGCAGCTGAGAACACGCCATAAACTGTCATTGAACTCGTCCCGGGGTGAATAATTGAAACCAAGTTTTTATGCCACTATGCGGGAATAGACGTTCCTGACGAAATACTATATTTTGTAATATATTAAACAGTTATTTTAGCCAAAACATCCGATTTTCATTCTATCATACTGATCGTTCTAGTAATCCGATAATACTTTTTAAAACAGATTTGAATTCTTGAATTTTGAATTATGTTTACTGGTGATTGGTCAGTCCACTTTTCAGAATTTCACCCCCCTCCCCCCCAAGCACTAAGAATTTAGCTTGAATATTTTGAAATTTTGGAAATTTCAAACATTGCTTATTCTGGACTTATTTGGAATTTAAAGCAAACATCTCAAAATGTCGACTGACCGATTCCTAATATGAATGCTAACAAATTCAAAACAATTATCAGAAATATTATAGCATTATTAGATCAATTGGTAGGATGGAACAAAAAAAAAAAAAGATGGAGCGATAAGTTGTAGATACGGTCTACAATATATTGATTATGAATATCTTCGAGCTAATGAAACTGTTCGCGTGTTTGACCCCTTGGTTTACGCCACTCTCGGGAACTACTGCGAACTGCTTACGTCCGTTGACAGCTTACACTGTCGTGGAACCGTCGGCCATTCACGTTGCCGACAGTTCCTTCAGTCCTCGAGTTGCTTTACGACGTTCTGTTGTTGCATAACAGTCTATTTCAGCCCTGGCGGCTTACAGGTCCATGTCCCCAGCACCCCCACCTCCAAATTTTGATTCAAAACCCATACCAATCGTTTTTAAATCGTTTGTACCTGTTTGCACCTCAAAGGTTAACCTAACCTTTGAAAATCGAGTTTAAATACGTCATACCAATCGTTTGTACCTCGTTTGTACCTGTTTTTACCTCAACGGTTTTCCAGTTATTCCAAATTCCTTAGGTAAGGGTGCCGAGGAAACGCTGGCAACCCCACCTTTAAATTTTGAGTTTAAACACATACCAATCGTTTGTACCTCGTTCGATCCTGTTTGTACCTCCAGCAACATCGTTTGTACAGAATCGTTTGCACATCGTTTGCACATAATCAGTGCTTTACAAATTATGCCAAACTTAGGTTAGGTTAGGTTACCTCAAGTAAAGTCGTAATAATCGAATTTTTTACGTTTGAAGAGTTGTTTTAAAACAGGTTTAAAATACGACTGAAATGGAAAATAAAATTTTATTTCACCTTTATTGTGAATCAACCCTTTTTTTAAAACTTATATATTTTAAATAGGTACCTATATTATTTTACAAAATTAATCATTTGTTTACTAATTACACATATATAACTGTTGAAGTTGACTAGATAGCATTTAATTTTGTTATCTATATCTATATATATGTTTTACAAAATAATTCTTAACCAACAGCATGAAATGTTTATTTTTGATATTACATGTAATAAATTTATATTACATATTTTATTTTAATATGCTTTCTGAAGCTTCTATCGTTAAATAGTTGAAAAAATATATTATATAATGTTAACATACTTCACTTCAACGTTTCTATTTAGGTAATTATTAAAAATCTATTTTTAAATTGACCATATAGAATTTATAATATTAATATATTTGGTAATAACAAATTATATTTAGATTTTTCATTCTCTCTCCTAAAAATTATTTAACAGTTCAATGCTTGGAAACTTATTAATATTCTAATTGAACTATTGAAGTATCCTAGGTGGTCTATAATGTTTAAAAAATGATGGAAACACTGATTTAGGCAATATTTTCTGTATCTTAGTTTTAAAGTTTATGATTTACTTGACTGTTTTTCATAATTCTAAGGAGTAATTAAATAGAGCCATATTCCATTCGTAGTTTCATCTTCCAGGTTTTATTATTTTAGAATGTAACATATATAATATATATGATACAAATATGTGTATCAAAGAAAATAGTTTACATTTTTTTAAATATATATTCTTTTAAATTAAATATTATAAAATTAACACAAAGGGTATATTTATTTTGCTTCTCTTAAATAATTTAGCAACTAAAATATTATTAATTGATTGATGAAAATATGAAATTAACATAAACTCTTATTTTAAATTAAGTAATATTCATAAATATACTAGTACAAAATAATCATTTTTGAAGATTTTAATATTAATAAAAGTAATTTTGATAAAAATATAACATATTAGATTAAAAAAAATTACATCTATTTAGGAAATTGTGCAGCTCTATTAAAATAATGTATACTGTATAGACTAATATTTGGCAGTTGTTAGCGATAGTAGTTGGTCTAACAATTCTTGGTGAAGTGGTAAGGTCGTCATACTTCTCCCATCTGTTGATTGCATCCCTCCAACAATATGTGATATAATGATGAACAGCTTGGAGTTTCTTCGAGGTGGGTGAAATAAAAATAATCATTCCTCAAAGATCATAAAGTTGTTGTTGAACAGTTATTGTTTTAGGAATCTCGTGTAACATTATAGATATATCCAAGTTCTTATTAGTGTTTTGTCCTGCAGTATCTGTTACATAATATGGTTCAACAAATATTTATTTCCCATAGTCATTTGCCTGTTCAATGATAAAAATTTTGCAATTTTGACATGTCTTATGATTTTGACATCGATGACAACGCATCATTTAGAAAATCTAAGTTTTCCGTTGGTAAGATTGTTGGTAAAATTGTCACGAGTTTTCTTTTTTTAGTGAAAGAACAGCTAAGGCATTTCCTTACAGTCACTAATGAAAAATAATTTAAAAATATATTGCGAGTCATGAATGCCATTGTGCACGAACAGTCGAAGTTCCTAAGAACCACTTGGATATTCAGTGCCAGGTGTCGCAAATTGCACTGATATGTTTGATCATCCTTGATCACCGACTACTCGAAAATTTCGTATATTCTGACAATATAGTGAAGCTACTGCCACATAGCGAGACTATACATGTACTAACTTAAAGACAGTATTGGTCAGTCTAATCAATTATTTAAATCGTTGGTGACCCCACACGAAACATTTTTGATTGTAATTGGTTTTCCAAGTCCTCTCCAATCTTCAAACGAATCATTTTTTTCGATTTCTAAATTGAATTCATTTAAATTTTCATCATTTTTCTGAGTTTCTAAATGGAATTCATTTACATTGTCATCATTTGTCTCAGTGTTATGTGCAAACCAATCATAAGTATTCATATTAATACCACTATTATCACTTTGTTCATTTTCAACTTCTTCATCTTTTTTATCTATTAAATAATTATCATACTGAATTTCAGGTTTTGATGCACCGAGTGTACTTCCGATTATGTTCATAGAACCGATGGTTGAATTAACGTGAAATTTTAAAAATTTATCAATGCGTAAAGGCATTTTTAAATCATTGAACAAACTCTCTAAAGTTGAGCTGGTTTCAGTTATGTTTCCATAGGTACTTAAATATAGGAACCATTAGAGCAGACCACGTCGGAATCAATTTACAGAAATTTAATCATTTTTTCGCGATACTCGGATTAAACTGCATGTTGTCATGGTCCCCTTCATCATCATGTTCTGCTTCATATTTAATATTTTCAATAATCAATTTGAATTCTAAAAATATAGAAGTGTTGGGAGTTTCTGCAATAATATCCATATAATCTTCAAAAAAGTTGTGAGGGGTTTAGTTCACGGATCTCCCCCAGCTGCTTCGATCGACTCCAAACAAGTTTGATGGAAAGCCAAATTAATATTTAATGAGAGTTTGAAGGTTTTTGTCAACATTGGGTATATTCACCAATATTCACGTTAAACTAACTATTTTACATGAAACGATTTTCTTATTATATCTATTAACAATTCAACATAGGTATTACAGAAAAATGCACTACCGTAGATAGTTGAAATGTTAACCAAATACTTATTATAATAGATTTTTCTATAGTATATGCCATATACTATATGGTATAGTTTTTACAAATATTATAACATATATTAATCAGTGACCCGCTTGTAACCTAGTATCATAGAAATTCAGATTGAGGCGACCGTGGTGTTTTATTGTTTTTAAACTACTTCGGTGAGCACTTCGGTTCAACTGGCCACCCGAAAATATAAATGTATCGAGATTTTGATCAAAACATGTTATATTGATTTCTATTTTTTTTTTTTTTTTTGTTAACCTGCAGTATACTGCTCTATACTGATATAAATTAAATATGTTTAATCTTCAAAAATCAAACCATTAGTTTAATCGAAAAATCGTCTACAATTAAAAAAAAACGTGTCAAAATCGTAATTTTTGACAACTTTACGATAATTAGTTTCAAATTGTATAAAATTCGGTCTATGTAGAGGCAGTAGGAACAAGGATTTATAAAATCTAAAATCAAAAATATAAATTAATAAATATTGGCAAATCGAAAATGGCAATATTATTTTCGTATCGACAATATTTGGATATTTACTAACTATTTATAAATCGATCACGGCGGCGGCTATAAATAACTGGTGTCAACCTAATATTATGCAATACAGTTACTCATACGCTCGGTTGGGGATTATGATTACATCTAGACACCATAATGGCTTATAACATTAATTCAAATATTTTCTCTATTATGGTATAAAATATAAATAAATAGTAATATAACAAATTCGATGTTTTTGGCAAAAACTAATTCAAGTGATATAATTAGTATCTTAATGTAAATACCTTTTAAATAGCGTCACTTATAAAAAAAATGAATAACTGATATTTAGGTAAACATGCATACCTACCTAACTATTATTATATTAAAATGTCTACGCTGACAGGCCATTTCCGCTCAGAATCATCCATGCAGGCAGAATTTTTCCTTATTATGGAGAATGTGCTGAGAAGTTTTTACCTTCAACAAAAGACCCAACCAAAGTCAAAATGATATAAATATAATTAATATTACCTACTAAAAAGCACACTAAAATTTGAATTTCTAAGTTTTTACTACTTCAAAAGGTGATGGTAGACACACAAATAATTTTCTTTATTATTGTGGATAGGTTCGATATTTTATAATATTATTAATATCTACAATTAATATTTATTTTTAATTAATAGAAATACTTACCACAATAAGATAGTACAATGCTAAATATGAAATTATTTTTTAAAATCAAGTTGAGACTGTTTTGGACAGACCTGTAATTAATTATTAAAAACTGTCAGTTATTAATTATTATTAAGTAAAAAAATACCTAAATAATCGTATAAGTTACTTATCGTTTTTTGTCAAATTCAATACAAATAAAACTACGCAATACACAATACAACTATGCTGTGCGACAGTCAAGTTAGAAATGATTAAACAATTATGGAATATCGATTAAAATAATTTTAAGGAGAGAGAAGGAAAAATATAAATATAATTTGTTATTACCTACCTATGTATTCATTACTCATATATTTGATTACATTTTCCAAATTCTCTTCTGATTCAAGTTGATGTAGCTTATCTCTAGGAAGAAAATACGAAAACAGACGGGTTTTGGGTTTTGTGTTTAACATAGCTTCATATGGACTTTGCATTTTTTTGTAAATTGAGCAAAATAATATAGATCATAAGCCCATTTATTAGTATTATATTATCGGGCATCCCTGCTCTTAGTAGGTTCTGAATATCTTGATTCGCTTTTTCTATTGAACCTTGTGTTTGGCTATGCCGTCATTTATCTACCTACTATTTTCACACCATCCCACATTAAACACAGTTCTGTGATTATTTTATTCAGAAATTACCTACCGTTATCAGAATGCAAAATATTTTGTAGTAAAAGTTAAGAGTATATTACCTATTTGACAAATTTATTATGGGCAACTTCTTCCGCAGTTTTAGATTTTGTCAATAATCTCGATAGTTCAAAATAAATTTGTATTCTCCATCTTTACGTGTTTGCATATCAACAAGATATATTAGGCATATTGAATTTAACTCTGAACTTATTAAAGGCTTTACAACAATGCCTTTTCTAGGTGCTTTTTGTTTAGCAAATTACCGTTTTATATTAGTAGTTACCTACTTTACACCACACAGAGGTATATTTTCAAAATATTTTAACTTATGTTTTGAGCTGTTTACGGACATTTTAAGTTTCCAATTTTTTTATTTTTTTAATGTCACTAAAATTGTATTCGATGGGTAAAAAAGCTTGATACAAGGCTAATAATATTATATTGTTACAATGAGAGTTAAAAATATTAAAAATACAGATTTCACAATTTTTAATACCTAAGCATTTTAAGTTCAAATTTTGACAAAAGGCTTAAAAATCACGAAAATATGCAAATTATTTTGAGTTAGAAATGAATTCAAATTTTTCTTTTTAAATCTAAGATTTTAAAATGTCATACAAGATTCCTTATAAATCTGTCTACTTTAATCAAAAAAAATAAAAATAAAACAAAGTTAAATGAAATTTGTATGAGAATTTGAAGTTAAAATTTGTATAACATTAGGTATTGGATATTCACTCGATTTCTCAAGTAGTGAGTTCCGTATCTTATTGTAATTCAAAAACGAATAACAGTAGACACTATATAGACATTTATATCATATGTTTATATTTCCTATACTTGATAGCTGATTTTGGACATTTTCAATTTTCAATTTTATTAGTTTTATAAAGTTGAAACATTTTAAAATACATACCACAATTTTTTTTATAAGCATTAAAAATTTGAATTTTGACTAAATTTATCAAATTAAATAATTTAAAAACGTATAAAATATTCAAATTTTATAGCTAAGGATTGAAAACTTACAAAAATATGTTAAACGTAAGTAGGTTATTCTGTAACCAAAAAATCTACAAAAATACGGTTTTTTTTATAGTTAATATTTATGTTTAAATTTGGACGAAATTAAATATTAAATGACCAAGAATAATAATTTTATTTATTTTGATGTATTTTAATAATATTATTCGTGGGAAGTTTATTATTATATCAATTTAATACACAACATCCTTGGCTGCAGGGCAGTTCTATTGTATACCAAAATGTGTGGTTCGCTTAGATATTTTAAACATGTAATTTTTTACAAACATTAGATGTTTATTCTTTTGCTGAACTATTATAATAGGTAATTTACGATAGTTAATTATATTATTATAAATACATTGGTGACAAACTGGTAGTTATCAATGTCGTGGTAATGTAGTTTCTAGCAATCTAGCGTCTAACTTTTGCAATTTAGCATTTTATCAATCCAAACGATGAAGTGAAGAATTTCTTAGAAAATAATATAAGAATGCGAAGTTGAAACTAATACAAATGTTGTTAATAACTAATTACCTATATAACCCATTATGTAGGTAATCGATTTGTGATATCTTGTTGAAATTTCATAAATGAATGACCGTGAAATACACTTTAAATTTTACCAAATATTAATTATAGGTATTATAATTTACCAACTATTCTGACTTGTTTTGAGCTACCTATTTATAATTTATGTCCATGAAATTTTTTACTAATTTTGTAAATTATTTTTCAGTTAGAAATTTATAATTTTTTTCTTTCCAGAGATAGGTACCTAACATTAGAAATGTTAGGTATTAAGATCCCCTACACATTTTTCTACCTTTAATAGAAAAAAAACTAGCAGAAAGTATAGCCATAAGATATTTTCATTTTTATTAAACTTTAGGATGACACAACATCTCTGCTTAATTTAATTTATAATATGCAATGATTTATCATTGAATTAAAAAATAACACATCCATTACAATGACATGCTCGACAACTACTGTACAGCAGAGCAGTACCTACCAACTTGTCCACCTTTTATTATATTTAAAATCTTTATTCAACAGTTAATTAATTCTGGTACAACGTATATGAATTTATGCCTCGCTTATACTAGGTAAATGTATTTATATTGGGTAAATATTTTTTTTTTAAAGTAATAATAATACTGGCTTCAGCTCGTTAGCCTCACCTCCCTCCCCTTCCGTACGCCAATGGCTGTGGAGACTATACAAATACATATTTTATTAAGACAATAGTGGGGGTGGGAAGGGTTGAGAATGTTATCCAAGACTTAATTATAAATATATATAAAATATGTACTGCAATTAGTTGCCCATCCGAAAATTTAGTTCTAGAACTGCGACTGCTTGGTTGACAAACCGTCTCCGCTAAAAATCGTTTTACGGATATAATAATATTCCAAATATAATACAGCAACACATAATAACATAATATTTATAATTTGACATAGGTATTATATTGTCTATTAAGAGGACACCACAAATTGATCTTGTTGTCTTCGTCTTACAAATTTACAACATGGCAAATTGTAAGTTCACAATAACCCATATTACTCTGTAATTTATAAAATTATTATACAATTTATAACATTTAAAGGTAAGATTTAGGGCATCTCGGAGTCTTTAATTTATATTTTTATTAAGAAGCAAGTTATGACCATTTTTAAACTGTAAATTGTTTGTACATTTTAAAATGATCATGACTTACTTAAAAATAATAATATGCCCTAGATAATATTCTTAACTTTTAAATTTCATAAGAGGTAAAAATTCACTCTAATTTTAGGAATAAGAGAGTAAAATTTGTTATTGTGAACGTACAATTTGCCATGTTTTGTAAGATAGACAATAAAATATGTCCGTGTGGGGTCTCCTTAACACGGAATCAAATCTTCTTTTTTTTAAATTTAGCTTATCTGGTGTTATTATATGTGATCGGTAATAGGCCAAGAAGGCTAACATATTTAGCATGTTCTAATAATAAGAATATATAAATATTATACTCAATAATAATCATACCTCAATAACAAATAGGAAAAAAATATAACTTTCTTGGATAATAAGTACTTTCTGAATTGCTAATACATTAAAATATGTACATTTAAATTGTAAGTATGTAATTCAACATTCAACACGCCATATTTTTATTTGGTGAGAAGTACAAATACAATATTTTTTTGGACTCATATTTATGTATGCTATAACAGCTTAAAAATATTACTATTTGAGACTTGCAATTGTGAAAATAAACTAAGTAGGTGCCTATGTTACACCCGAATGTAGGAATAGATAACTGTTGACTTGATACAAAAAATATGATTATAAAACGAGTATAATACCTACCTAATAAAGTAAAATTACTATTAGTATTTAGTATATTATACCGAAATTGCAATAAAATCAGTGCCAGCATTACTATCACAGTAATTTACAAGAATAGCCATGAAGAAAAAGCTAAAATCGAAATGCCGAAGCCACTGACAACCTTTTGGCTTTTGACTAAGATATATTTTAGATCTTATCTCGTAAGAGGCTAAAGCTAAATGTCCTAACAATAATGGACGTAATTAGATTATTAAACACATATTATTGTTCAAAAAATAAATATGTATATATTATAATAAAAATAAAAATATGATTAGTCATATTATATTAATTGCACATAATAATAAATTAGTATAAATATTTAGAATATCCCATTTATTATCTCCGAATCAGAATTGATTATGATTGTAGTTATTGACGTTACTATATTATAATATATGTACTTAATTTTTTTCTATGTTATAGAAATACTCATTTGAAAATTCACTGCCTTGAGATGCAAAATAGTAATAAAACAAAAATGTCCCCATTCATCAAATACGCCACTGGGTATAGCCAAGATACAATTATTTGATCAACAAGAAAAAACTATTGAGCAAAACCTAATAGCGACTTTTCACGTTACTATGAACAATAGTGTACTCATTGGTTAGTATTTAGTATGTATGCCGTGGACAGACGGTGTTTGGCATTTACTTTCCTAAAATACGTTATTTTCTGTTGCTTCAACTAAAAACAAAAATAATATTCAGTGCAGGAACGACCACAATTCGTTGTTTAACGTTACATAACATTTTTTTGTATGTGGGAAATCATCAATTATAATAAACCATCCTAATTACATGGGGAAAACTATTTTCAACAATTGAAATAACGAAGTAAAGAGTCTAATAAAAAGCTTATGTGAAAATCAATAAAATAATACCAATGATATAAATAATACAATAAAAATCAAATAAAAAAAGGCAATAAATAAAATAGTTAGTGATCTTGATGATAATGTGTGTATCAATAAAATCATAAAAAGTCTAAAAATAATATTCTATAATATATATTTATATGTACCTATAATATGTAATGCTGATGTAAATTTTTGTTTCTAATGTTTTTTTTATCATGTAATGTTTATTTAATTATATCATATTTTCATTGCATAAGTATTTACTTAAAACGAATTGTAATATTGTTGAACTCCGTATACCAGACAAGAGCTTATAGCTCAGTTGGTATTCGTATCAGCTATTATTAATTTATTTCATTGTAATTATTTAATAGTAATTGTTTTGGCTGAATAAATAATTAAAAAATTCACCTAGTTAATAATATCATGTAATTAACCAGTATTGCACTTTCTTCAATATTCTCATTCAGATGTATATAGTTAGAATTTATTATTGTATATTATACATTTTAACCCTTTCTATATTATGCAATTGTCCTCGCGTATTCGTACTCCACTCGACACACATAGTTTTGGGCATTTATTCATGAAATGATCTCAAGATTGAATTATGTTCCAGAAAATTAACTTTACGCCTAATGCTTGATAAAATATTATATTAGGTAGGTATATGATCTGTTAATAAATCCAGATTATTATTTTTATTTAAAGCTAAATAAAACAATAATTAAAATAATAAGTCCCAATTTCTTTTTATTGGTCAATACAAAAGTTAAATATAATCAAAATATAATCAATGAATTATTTTATAAGTGTAAACTGTTCTATATAATATTTAAAACTAAAATTCAAATAAATGCAAAGATGAGAAATACTGGAAAATGACAAAGATCCAAAATGATCATAACATTTAATAAACAAAATCATTGTAATAGTGAATTGTGTAAATAAAATTATTTAAGTTAGTACATATTATTATGTATATACTATTCAATGAACACATATTATTTATAGGAAAAAAATCACAGTAAAAGAATTCCTAAAAGATCGACATAATCTCAATTGTATAGGAATTCAGTAAATAATAAAAAATAACAAAACAGAATAATGTTTTAAATTTAAGAGGAAATGGGCACCGACGACCAGTGTACATTTCATAGACACACAGATTACCTATGCTGTGGTAGTTGTTTTCACATATATTACATATAGGGCAAGGGGGATGGCGAGTTGCTCTAGCTCTGATAGTTATTATGCATCAGTGGTTGTGGTGGTTGATGCTGGTGCGGTGATTGCGACGGATCGGCACCAGTGTGAAGCCAATTGTTGCTGTAGGTGGGTACTAACCAGTGGTGCCTGTGGTGGCTGGTAGTGGCACCACCACTGCTACTGCTGCCAACCACCGGCTTTAGCCAGTCGGGTCGGCTCATCCTTAGCTGGTGCGTTGTCTCTTTGACGGCACACTAACATATTGATAAAACTGCTGTATTTCATCGTCTGACTTGGACACCAATGTCCTTAACTGCAAAAACACTTTCACAATATCTTGCAGCATGGCCATTGGTGTGTCTTCAGGGTACATCGACCTGATGCGTCCGTTATCTTGCAATACAGATAACTGTTCACTGTCAAACAAATAACGAATACAATTTACTAAACTCTTTAGATCACTGTTAGATGAGTAGTTGGAGAATAATGAAGATGATTAAAAGGAGGAAGAACAAGACACTTACGAATTGCCACTGAATAGTGTCGTTTTCAAGAATTTGTTCAAAATGTGAGCGCAACGCTCAATAGTGCACGAAGGTAACATCATCTTAACTAGGTCATCTAAGGTCACCATCAAATCTGAATATATGTAAGGTTTGGCATTAATGCAGTGGATTGTTTGCCCTTGAAGTGTCGTTTTTTGGATCTGTATTAAAATATTTTATTTATATTATTTATTTATTAAATAAATACAAACAGAAGAAAGATTAAACACATATAATAATTTAAACAAAAAAAATTATGTAATATTTTATATAGCGAAAAAGTCTAAATAGTAGTTTGTTTCTTTGTGTAAATACCTATCTGAGTTTAATTTAAAAACATACAGGGATATTAAATATTGCTTTATTGCTTTATATTATTTATAATTAAAAAATGTATTTCAATAATATTAAGTTAAAAATACTTGTTCAAAGAATAACTTTATTACTAAGGATAAAATATATTGTAAACATATTTGGTTTACAGAAAAATTATAAAAATTTAAATCATCAGCCAAGAGAAACTAATGTCTATTATTACAGACAGTTACATTTAAATACAAAACATTCATGTAAAATGTCGTCCATAAAATTATAATATTTTAAATTTTAAGTTTAACTAATATTAATATAATATGTTTATAAATGTTTATTTAATTAACATTATCAACTTATCTATGCTATACAATACAAAATTGGCTAATGTTTGACACAACCCTAGGTGCACATGCTATTTTGGTAAATAAATAGAAAACAGATTAACAGAGTGTAACATTGTTCAATGTAAAAAGAGGTATCAGTATTTTATACTATATAGAGGTTTAAAAAATAATATTGTTTTATTCTAGGCTCCTTCAATAACTTCAAACTTAAAATATTTAAAATAATTAACCTTGTATGCAGCACTAGTTGATGAGCCTTGTAGAAATTTCCGTTCAGGTATTCTCGTCAATACCCATCCAACATTAGGGCAGAGAGAAGTCTCTGGTTCAGGTGAAGGAACGGGGCTTGATGGCGGAGTTGATAAGTCAATGATTTCAGTTGTTATGATGGGCGCAACATTTCTCAAGGCGTTGCGCTGTTGAGTGTTGGTGAAACGACCATACACAGGTTGGCCACTGTATGACTCTTGAGTTTGAGGAGTAGAAATTATCTGTTGTTGTTGTTGCTGCAACTGTTGTTGGGCTTGGCTATTATTAATAGTACGTTGACTATATACTTGTCGAATTTGATTTGAGTATGACATCACATTGCCATTGGTCATTGGATTGTACATAGTTGTCATATATTGGCTAATAGGTAAAAAGTTTGAGTATGAGACAGTATTACTAAACTCCATTCAGAATAAGAAAGGTATCGGGCTGTGAACGGTTTTTGTCCAATGGCAGTTATATGCTTCTCCCACCAAGTCAAACAACTGGTTCAGCATTTGTAACGAAGACTAGCCCAAGCAAGTCCGCCACCCGGTACCTTTTTTACTCTCAATAGAGTATACAAGCAAAAGTATTTTTTTCTGTTTTTAGATACTAACAAATTTGATTGTTTGTATTATTTTATTATACTCACCCAATTACTGGTGTCGTGCTGCCTGCATGAACTAGAGGCGGTGGTAGTACATGCCCCATACCGCTTAATGAAACGTTGCTTTGAGACATTGTTGAATCCCGTGAATCCATTGAAAACTAAATGTAAAAAACTGTTGATTTACTAAAATGTATAAACAGGGTGGTTTTTTAAGCATGCATTTTTCCGGCTCATAGTACATTTATTCAAATTCTGATTTATAGAATTTTAAAGTAATCTGACCATATTTTCAAACTCCTAATATTTTATGTACTACCTACTTAAGAAGTGTTATGTGATGATACAAAATTAATTTTTTCTAAATGTGAACACCGTCCCTCCTACTTTTTACTGCAAATTATTTAGCAGATGATTTTCTTGAAAAGTTTTTTGTTTCTAAAACAAGATTCTAATGAGTAGTGTCTAAGTTATTAAATTGTTATTATATTATGTAATATTAGATGAAATATTTGTTACACTTGGACTACTCACAAATTATTTATATTGGTAGATCATTTATAATTAATTAACATTTTCAAATAAGCCCCTTTTCAAAGTTCCCATATCTACTTAACCCATTAACTGCAGACAAATTATTTACTCAAAATTATATAATTCAAAAACTGCTCATTCGAGTTTTGATTTGTATAGATCAAAATTCTAAAAAAAAAAAAAAAAAGATTCTGATTAATAATTTAAAGGGAAAGGGGGCGTGGGTACTATTTGAAAAGTATAAGTTTGTTTTGTCACAGAATCATCATCAAGTGGTCCAAAAATCAGAATTTGAATATTATATGCATACTTTAAGCATAAAATAGGGCAAGCATGCCTTAAATATCACCTTATAAGCCCACAATGTAATATAGTTTCAAAAATAATACAAACCACCACTAAATCTTCTTTTGAACTATTATCAAACATAAAGTAAAAGCTGCAGCCAATACTTGTTAAATTTGAAATTAACATAAAAAAAAATATTTAATATAATTAAAACCATCGTTAAATTGTTTGTATTAAATAAAAATATAAAGAGGTTATTTGTTTCAAATGGTGACAACATTATAAAATCAAAAGTAGTTTACATTGTGAGCTTTAAAAAATAGATAATTGGTTGAAAGTTTTTTAAATAAGTACCGTGTTATAGCAGTGGGCTGGCATATTTTGATTTCCAGTCAATATAGAGTAGGCACGAGTTGTTGATGTTGGTTGGACATGAGTGCTATATGAATTAACCTACAAAAACATTATTTATTTATTGAGAATCCTGACATTTTATAGAAAAAATTAATTGAAAGTATAATTAAAAGAAACAAATAAAAGCAAAATTGCATGTAAAAAACTAAAGCCTTTATATACCATTTTTCCCATTATTTTGTTAGGTATGAAATATATAAGTATAAATTGGTTTATTATTTTATTTATAGATTCATTATTTATAAATATTAAAAACACAAGCAATAATTTTTTTTAATGAACCAAAAATATCAACTAATTACATAACACATACCATTTGATTTGGTGGCCATCCGTTTTGATAAGTATTCATTATCACTGGCGTACCCTGTGGTACTGGTGCTGGTAAAGTGTGAGAAATAGTATTTTTAAGAGGTACTACTTCAGGGGGTGCTCTGATCCAGGCACTGGATGGACTGACATGTGTAGACTTCTGATTAGTTAGAAGATATGAATCAACCACCTTAGCAGGCCAATATTCCTCAAAATTTGTATCTGGTGGAAAATATTTCTTAATATCATCAAGACGGGCCACTGTGCAAGAGTTACTAGCAAACAACTCATTTCTGATACCCTGAACTTTACAACAGAACTTTAGATAGGACAAGTTCCAATTTTCTAAATTTATAGCTCGATTTATTAGGTTTTCTGTTTCTCCTTCAAAGTAGAACATTGGAACAAACTTTTGGCCATCTTTAATACAATATGGTACAACGGACTCAGAGTTAATACGTATAAAACCGCATATTTCGTTGTGATCTGGAGAAACATTACACAGTAATTTTTTATAACATACTTCTATGAATGTATAAAATTCATGAACATCTTCTAAAGAGGCAATCAAATCTTTCCCTGCAATGAATATTTCTTTTCCGTACACACAATTCGTATGGTTATAGTTTATGTCATTTAATAGCTTTGCTTCTGAATTAGTGATAAAATGACCATTTACTGATGTGCATGATGTATAAATATCTGAATGTAAATGATGTAAATAATTGCTAAGTAGGTGAGTTTCAGCCATCCGTGTAGATACAAACTTTAAATATTCACCATTAATTAAGCGTATAATGTACGGTAAATGGAATCCTGCGATTGATTTCCAAGAAAATCTTGCTATATTGTACAAAAAAACATAAAATATTAAGTATCTTCGTAGGAAATTTCAAAATATGAATTAATTTCTAATTACTTACATTTTCTACTTTCTATATCTTCACATTGTTCAAATAATTCTTCTTCATTATTTTTTTGTGTATTATTATTTGTGATTGCTGATGTCATGACCAAAGCTACTGTTCTATTGGCTTTGTTAGTATAAACCTTAGCCGGAGAAGCACGTATTTGTCTTGCTGCGGCTAAAGCATTTTTTCTATAAATCTCTTTTAATTTAAGAGCCATCGCATTGATTTCAGCATCTTCCTTTTCAGTTTTAACAAGTACCTCTGTAATTTAATTATAAAATTATGTTTCAATATAATTAAATTATATTTAATAAAAATAATAACATTTACAAGAAAATTTGTTGTTATTTTTTTTTGTATACTTTATCTGAAATCCATTTCAATAATCAATAAAATCGATAAATCATAACTACAAATATTAATTAGAAATTATCAAAAAAAAAAATATTACAAAGAGACCAAAAACCTACACTTAAAATGTTTTTCATAATAAACTTCTTTAAATTCATACTTGTAAGATTGTAAATAGCCAGCATAGTAAATGTACACACCAAGATTTTATAGGGGCGGGTGTCCATGCCTGAGTGGTTGATTAAATTATTATAAGACGACATAAGTACTTTATTAACTGAATGGAATCAATTTATATCACAGTAGGAAGTAGGTACAGAATATTATAGAAGTAGGTATATATTATAATTATACAGTCCATCTGTCTGTGATTAGTATTTATTATTTAAGTATTTAGTATAACAAGACAATCAATGGATCATTATAATTTATAAGATTTAGAGGACGCCATACCCATATGTGTTGTTTCCATCATACAAGTGAGTAACATAGAAAATTTATGCTCAGCAGATCATGTCTAGCTCCATTAGTTTAAAAATTAGAGTGATGGACCTATTATGAAATTTCTGGGTTTAACGAAATATATTGTTGTATACGCACTTTTCAGAGGTATACGTCTATCGAAACTAGAATTACCAAAAGACCATAAATTAACCGGTTACAGTTTGGCTCTCCAGATGTCGATATCGCTACCTTACTGTTTAGACTTTCAATCTTCAACGACCATAAATTAACCGGTTACAGATAAGATTGAAAGAATACAATTAACGTAGGACTACTTTCACCGTATATAAATTTATAATATTTCAAAAATATAAATCACTTTTATATAAATTAATAACATTAAACACTCCAACTGCAATATATAAACTAATTAAATCCTACCTTTCCGTTCACTTCTTTAAAGTCTGAATAAACGAGAATTTATCAGAAACAAAACTAAAGTGTACCTCAAGGCTAAGAAATTTCAACTTTATTTTTTAACTAATAGGTTTCGAACTACCCTACAACAAATAATTGTTGCTAAAACCCACATACCCATAATACAAGTATTCCAATCCAAAGTTCTGAGGACAATATCTCATTTTCAGTGGTTTATTCATAACGATGTACTCCACAAAGCTAGGTACTCACAAAAACTCAGTACATAAGAAAATTAGCAATCAACTTTTTCAACCACATTAATTTTATTCTAATGTTACCTATAGTTAAGTTCATGTACTGTAGTCAAACACGGTAATATTTTCAAATTACTTAGTTATAATACTATTTTTATTATTGATATCCATTTTCCCAACGTAAAGAATGTAATTAAATTAACAATAAATTTAGATGACAGGGGAGCTTAATTAATGAAAAAAAAAAAAAATATTAAACTTGATGGTAAGAACATTATCTGTGTTTGTATGATGGTTTTTTACAATGATTCAGTTTTTAATGAGTTTTGAGCATTTTCAATTTATGCTATATTATTTACTCATAACTCACTTAAAACCTGAGTTATCGTAAAAAACCCATATACAAACAAACATAATGTTCTTACCATCAAGTTTCATAATATGCCGATTCAGTCTAATTTTTAAATTATCGGAGCTAAACATGATTTGCTGAGCTTACACCAAGGCTTACATTTTCTATGTTATGCAATTGTAAAACGGAGACAACACTTGCGGGTATGTTTCCTCTTATTATTATTATATTCGTATCAAACAATTATACAATTTTGGTAAGTACAATTATAACCATATAAACATATAAACATAAAATATATAAATGTAAACATAACCAAGAGTTTAAATTGTCAATTGATCAAATAGTAAACAAATAAATATAAGTAAAATAAACATAAACACGAGTTAGAATAGTTAAAAAAAAAAAGAAAAAAAAATTGGTCACTAAATTTGTATTTATATTAGTTAATTTATTTATAATATCATGAATTATATCACAACACTATTGAGGAAACCTATTAATATAAGTAATTTAATTTATATTGTTGATAAGACTATAGTGTTGTGATATAATTCATGATATTATAAATAAATTAGGTAACTAATATAAATACAGCGCTTGATGTATTTTGGTAATCCGGTTAGTAATATAATATTATTATAAAATTAGAATTGGTGTGACACTATAATGGCATTTTATATTTTGGCTTTAATTTAATATTTCAATGTCTCGGTCAAAAAATTATTGAGTGATTGACAGCTACAGTTTTTGCTATTATTCTAATAATTAATAATTACTACTAGGGACGTCTACTTATATTTTTTTAATTATAGTCAATTAAGATGACACAATTTTTACAGAAATATCAAACATATTATTAAATTCATAAATGTACTATACTTATCCTTTTAATAGTACTCCATCATCAAAGATAAGAGGTTATCCTCAGTGGTGAGATGGGCCATTTTACTATGTTATATATTAGGTATACCTATTATTTACTAAAAATTATAATTTCTTGCCAAATAAATATTATTATTATTATTATATTACATATATTTAGGTAACAAATTTAAATGCTTCCATGGATTAAATATTGGAAAAGTCTGAAAATTGATTATGGATATAATATTTACAAATAATGTCGGAGGACAAAGTATCCTTGACAGGCAAAGGTCCAATAAATAAAAATAACCTCTAAGTCATAATTTTATTTTAATAGTTATAAGTGAATCTATTATTTTATTGAAATGTATGTACTAAAATTATTAAATACCCTCGTAAATACTTATTTAATTGTGTACCTATATTGTTCTGTATATTGTTATAGGTAGGTAGATGCTATTCTCAAAAATGTTAAAATGTCAGTCTCTTCTGCAAACAAAGCAAGATCAAGGTGGCTCAAATTTGCAAAAACGATTAAAATTGTCTAGTTCTAGTGTAAATTTGCTCATATTTATATGTGTATTTGTGTGTGTTTAGAGCTTTTAAGTCCTTAGGTCTAGTTATAACCTTAACTAACTATTAATTAATGTAACAAAATCCAAGCCCTAGTTATTATTATTTAATATTGGATTGATCCTATCTTTATGTTCTAAAAAGACGATGTTCTTTCAAAATCTGTTTGATTTTATATGCATCATTTAGCATTAAATTGACCTCCTCAAAGATTAATCACACAAGTTTTTGAAATCAATGTTGTCATTTTACAGTAGGTACATATTTAGAAATGGTATACCTAATATTTAGTTGATTCAAACAAAATATGAAAGTAGTACATTATTTTTTAATATTTAAATTAAAAAATATGTATTTAGGTACCTACATTAGTAAAAAAAATACAGGTACCTAACCTATTGTATATATTTTAAATAATTGTATGATGTAGGCATAACATAGTTTATACAATAGGTAATTTAGTATAAATATTTAAATACCTACCTAGCTATAGCCTATTCATGTACTGTCTGTATGATCTATGTTAATATTATAAATTAAAAATATTATGTAAAATATATTGAGAAAATAAAAGCTGTTCTAATAATAGCATTGTAACTAGTACAATATCGGTACCTACATAATATTATTATTATAATGTGTTGATGTTTTTTTTAGATTCTGAGTGAAACGATGAATGTATTGATTTTACAATGATGTGTGTTTTTTTTTTATTTTTTTATTTTTTTTGTGTCTGTGTACACGATAAGTAGTCGAAATAATGCTTCGATTTTCGACTTCAGTATCTTGTTCGATTGGAAAGTGAATATCGTTGGTGCATTGGGGAGGTCAAAATTTAAATTTCCCAGTAGTTTTCAAAAGCGCCGGAAAAAACAAAATAAAAATTAAGGAAAAACGGGAATTTTTACGCAAAATCGGTTTTCCAAGTAAATCGATTTTGGTTTTTGGTGTAACTTTAAAACAAATGACCGTAGATACATGAAATTTCAGTGGTTGTTTATATTTTCATTTACTATACACGATGATATTTTCAAAATATTTTGATTTATATTGAACTGTTTAGGGACATTTTCAGTTTCCAATTTTATTAGTTTTTTTTTTTATGAATATCAATAAAAATTTATTTGTTGAGTAAAAATACTTGAAAATTTAATACAAGGCTCCTACTATATTGTTTCAAAGACAGATGAAAAATATTAAAAATCGTTAGTCACAGTTTTTTTTTTTTAAGCATTTAAAGTTCAAAAAATGACAAAATATGGAAAAATCACGAAAATTTGCAAATTATTTCGAGTTAGAAATTCATAAAAATTTTTCTTTTTAAATCTAAGATATGAAAATGTAATACAAGATTCCTTATGAGATTTCCTACATTTATCAAAAAAAAAAATTCTATAAGAAAGTCAAATTAAATTTTTATAAGCATTTGAAATTCAAATTTTTACAACATTGGATATTCACTCGATTTCTCATGTGGCGATTTCCTTATTTTGTTGTAATTCAAAAACGAATTACTGTAGATACATGAAAATTTCACTGAATGTTTATATTAGAATTTCCTATACACCATACAATTTTGAAAATATTTTGACTCTTTTTGAGCCGTTTACGGACATTTTCAGTTTTCAATTTTTTTAGTTTTTTTTTTTCTTTAAATATCAATAAAGTTTTATCTGTTGGGCCAAAAAGTGTGAAAAATTAATACAAGGCTCCTGGTATATTGTTACAATATTAATTGAAAAATATTAAAAATACATAGGCACAATTTTTTTTTATAAGCATTTAAAGATCGCATTTTGACAAAATTTATCAAAATCTCGAAAATTATCAATCATCGTAATTAATAAATTATAAAATGTTCGGTTTTTATAGCTAAGGATTGAAAATTTAAAAAAAGATTCTCATAAATAGTTCATACTGTAGCCAAAAAATCTAAAAAATATATGAGCACAGTTATTTTTTACAGACATTTTAAGTTCAAATTTGGGACGAAATTACATAATCAAAAACCTAGCATACCTACCTATTTTAGTTATTTTGTTGTGAGTGTATAATACTATTCGTGGGTACTTGAAACTTCTAAAGTGTACTATTATATATATCTATGATAGTATCAGGGTTTGTTATTGATGTATAACGTGTTATAAGTACCTAATGGATATTGTGATATGATTAATTTGGAATTTATTATAGGTCAATTTTTTTTTTAATACCATAGATATGTATATAATATGTCTTAAACCTAGACTGACATACCGTCTTCGCTCAGAATCGTTTTTCTTATACAATGATATTGTATCATTGGATTCAAATTTAATACCATCCATTATACAGTGACCCACTTGTAACCTACTGTACAACAGAGCGACATCCACTTACCCACCTTTTTTTATTATCAATACAACCATTTGATTTGACCTATGTAATTTAAAATGAAATTAAAGATAATTATCTAACACTTTCTATTACTATAATAAACTGATAGATAAATAAGCGTAGGTACAGATAATTAAGGTTTTACATACAACAATGCATCAGCGTAAAAGCCGAGGTAAAAGCTAACAAAAGCACAATCGTATACCTACTATTATTATTAATTTATTATTCATTGATGGAATTTTACAAATTAAATACACAATTCAAATGTAACTAGCTTCTTTAATTATTGAGGCATAATTATAAATGATCCGTGAAAATTCATTAAAAAATAAAGCTTGGGTAGGTATATGATTAATACCTATTATTAATATTTCTGTGCATACCTATTTGAAAATTTTAGGTTTTCATTTGAATTTTAAGTTATCCCTGAAATTTCCCATTTTTTAATTTAAAAAAAAAATAATTAATATCAAATTAATTTTGATTAACTGTATGATTAAAAAGGGTTATATATTTTCATAAATGTACAATAAAATTATTTATTAATCCTCTATTGATAATTTAAACATTTGACACTAGGATCTCTGGATTAGGATAAGTACATATTAGGTATTATTATTATTATAAATGCATAAAATTAATTTTTAACTGAATAGGTAGATACCTAATATTTAAGTAATATTAAACATAATATGAATTGTATTTAAGGTTGTTCATTTGTTGTGCCTCTAAATTTTATATTACTTAGGTACCTATATTACCTATATTACTTAGGTACCTAATCATATTTACTTTTATAAAATAACTATAGTATAATGTATTGTTTTATTTTTATTAACAATTGGTACCTATGTAATATAGACCAGTAGATGTATGTAGATTTTGCAACTGTTGTTTTTAAAACTATAAACCATATTTTGTTAGTTAAACACACAACACATACCAGCTTACAATAATTAACTAAGGCCTGCGCTTAAATCTACCCTCACATCTACCAGTATTCGGGTATTTATGTACCTAACTTGTATACAAACAATTGAAAGTAGTGTGTACTAAATACTGAGTACTATAGTACTGAAAGATAATTTTTTATTCTTGCTGAAAATGTCAATGAAAAAAAAAATGTTTCAAGCTTACAGCTCTAGTATTTTACTTAATGATATTACATAGAGCAGAAAGCTTGAAAATTAAAAAAAAAATGTTTGTTCAGGAGTTAGGTAGGAGTTAGGTAGAGTTAGAAAACTGGCAGAGGTAGGCATAGGCTGTAGACACGTTTCCAACTTCGGTAATTAATACCCAGTAGGTACCTATTAAAAGTAATAATAACAAAAGCTGTGATGATAATCAATAACGATAGTGATAATATATTAACTACTATATTATCATATAGTCAGGAAGTGTTTTGTGTTTAATAAACAAATGGTCTATAGTTAAAAACAAAAAATATTTACAAGATCTAGGTAGGTAGGTATATAGGTTCAAACAATTTTCAAAATTTTCATAGTTATTGAAACATACAATTTTCACGAAAATGTACATTTCTAATATTACCTACATATAGACATATTATTGTACTGTACCTATTGTACTAAAGTCCTTTATAAATAATATATATTAAGATAATTTGTTCTTATTAATAAAAAAAAATCCGTGCATGTTCTGTAAGATTTTGCATATTTGGTCACAATTTAAAAACAGAGTAAAAAAAGTTTAAAAAAAATAGGTATGCCGAACAATCCAAAAGATGAGAAAAAAATGAATTATTTTTATGTAAAATAAAATACCTAGGTAGGTACTTATAAATTATAAAATATTTTACATTTCAAAGAATGTTTGGTTTTACCCATAGTACGAGTCTTATAGCAATGAAGTGACTATACCTACCTACTTGTTTTAGATTAATTGTTTATTTTATTAGGTAAATTTTAAATACCTACACGGCTACACATAAATAACCAGTGTTGAAGTTGAAAGTAGTTTTTCATCCTACAAGTAAGTACATTCTTACAAATCGTAACCCTAAACACACATTGGTGTACCTTACTAATTATGTTTTTTTGAATTAACATAGGTACCTAGGAATTAAAATATCAATTACTTGGTGTGTGGAGTGCATAATTCACAATGAATGTACAGCTAATTAGAAAGTAAATGTAGGTATAGTATATTCACAATGAGATCATTACTCGGCGGCGACCGGTTTTCGTAGGGTGGCGGTCAGATATATGGTCAGACGCAGTCCCCACAACGGCCACGGAACAAATCCAAGCCCATGGACACAACTAGGGCACCGAGTAATGATCTCATTGTGAATAGACTATCGGTACTTTTTAGTTAACACATTTTTAATTGTGAACCAAGTACCTACCTAGGTACTTAATTTAAAATGCTCATGACACGCCTGACTATTATTTACCGACAATCATTGAACATTAAATTGTTGGATTGCATAAATATAATAATTACATACCTACATTTTGTACGTGCCCATGCTATACCTACACTTCAAAATTACGAAATACCTAACTCCGGTGCAATGAAAAATGTGTTATTATTCGAAATTTCAATCTGCGCAATATTTGAGATTACCTACCTACCTATTACGAGTGCGCATAAATCCGGTCTGTAGAGTTAAGTAAAATCGTCTGGTTTATAATATGATTACCTTGGTTTGACGTGACTTTTCCGAAGTTTGAAGCCATTTTCGAAGCGTTCGACGCCACTCGCCGGTCTCCAGTGTAGTCTCCGCAAGTTTAGACGATCGGACGGAAAGGCGGGCGGGGGGGGTGAGAAAAACACGTTGGTCGACAATACGGTTGCAAAGTCGCGCGGGCCGCTGAAGTGGCTTTTGAAGAGCAGACTGAACGGCCGAGCGTCAACGGTCACAATGTTTTAACTGTTAAAAATGTCGAGTGGACAATTATTACTATTGTTCAACAAACGGTGGAACACGGCGGTGAACAGTAATTTCGGCGTCTGCGGCGGACGACGCGCGAGCCACGGAACAACAGTAACGACGCGTCGACGCGTATGGCAAATGTGGCGGAAGCGCAGGCGAAGAAATCGTCGACTATAAACGTCTGGCGCTGGTGTCGACGGGCGCTGAGCAATTATTTTTCGTCATGCGCGTAGACGAGAATAGTGAATAATAGACTCGTATAATATTGTTATAGTAACAATGCGTCGGGCGGACTACGTTTCGTTAATCTTCTGAACTTTTGAAAACAGCGCTCCCGTTGACAGACGCGTGAAACTACGCGTTGGCGCGCGCCGCGAAACAACCTCTTTGTTCTCGGTGGCGGTGAGTGACACGTACAGTGTTTTCGTCCGAATTCCCGAGTGGCCGGGTTTTTTCCCGGAAGCCTGGAAAGCGAACAGTTGACGGGCGGGTGACGGGGAGCAGTGCCGCTGTCGGTGCTCGGTAAGCTTTCGCGGTGGGGAGGGAGGGGGACATTGCGAGAAGTCCGTATTCAGCGGTACCAATATTATTCAACATAATATTAATGATTATAAAAAAAAACCAAATGGTAAGTGGTAGGGAAGCCGCTACGGTCGCGGTACACACCGGCCAAGTGCCTGAAGTTTTCGTGTCGCGGACTGTCGATTGGCGGACGGATTATTCTCTCGTTGGTAGGATGTCGGCGCACTCGCACTGTTCGTTGATAATATTGTTTTCTCTCTCTGGGCCCAGTAGCGACACGCCGACACGCACAAAACGCATTTTGGCCATAGACCTATAGGCTATGTCGCTATGATTGACTTATGGACAGCGCTTAGAGAAGGAAACCGGGGGAACGATATTGTAGAGTGATCGACAAACGAAACAAAGTTGTAAAATATTATAATATACAATTCCTTATGCGGGCTCCTTCTCTACTTTATGTTCTTTCTCTCTCAGTTGTATTGTTATAAGATGGTTATTATATTGTTAATAATTGTTAACTGTTATACGCCGGGCGGACTGCGGAGTGAAATACGCTGTCCATTAGTTTTTAGGTCCATGATTTATGTACGCGGAATCATGTGGTTCTTTTTATGTTTTTCAATTATCTCATAGTGAAATCGCCTGTTACAAAAATGATGGACAACAGTATTATTTAGGGTTTCACGTCATATCGATTTTTCTAAGACATAGGTACTCTCTCGAAACAATTTAAACATCATTTAAATGTACAAGAAAATTGTAAGTCATATGTAAAAGTACAAATCCTCTCAGAGGCCACCGTAAACATGATTTTCAAGCGTTTTGCGAAATAAATGTTGATACCGACCGAAATACGTTGCGCAACTCTCAAAATGTTTGCAGTTTTGCACAAACACGGACGTTTCGAATCGTCTATGTGCATAGCACCTAGCATTGTATAATATTAAAATGTATAACATAATATTATTATCTGTAATTGGTGACGTCGCCTTGAATTTATTTTTGGTACCATGTACAGTAATGTTATAGAAATATAGAAGCCGCTTATTAGGAACACAGATAATAAATAATAATACATTGATACAATCGCGTTATTGATTAAAACCGTTATAATTGTCAAATATACATTGTTGTTGTAACATTGTAAATAAATAAATTAGATTAATCGAAAACAACACTACGTTATGTCGGTTATCCGAAACAATTAGGGAAAATTTTGGTAACGAAATCCGGTTATTCGGCGATAAGTGATAAGTGATAACCAATATTATGTAGGTACCCACCTACTGTACCTACCTACTTCAATACTACAATGTAACTACATTATCTTAATAATATTATGTCGTTACTAATAATTAGAAATAACTATTTTACATAATTCCACTTGTCCAATATTATTGTTATTATTTCGTTTATTTGATTAGGTACAGCGTACAGGAAACCGATTTTAGTGCGGCACAAACGTGGTACCGAATACAAACGGTTTTGTTTTTTTTGTAGCATTTTTCGGATTCACGTAGTACGCGGCGTTAAGCTCAATGTGCCAGTATGAACGGTGAAAACGATATCGATAGATACACAAATCATTATTATTATTATTTTACACGACATAAAATTATTATTTTTTTTTCCTAGTAGATACGTATTGTTATTTAAAACTAGGAGTAGGTACATTTTTTTGTTTTTTTTCCACATTGAATAAAACCAATCACTGATTAGAAACAATCGGTTAATTGACACAGGCACAAATCACCTCGGACCAAAAGTGTCTTGGCGGTTTCTACTGCAGTATTACGATTTATACATTTCCCCTTAGAAACATATCTGAGGTTTGTCATTCAAGCATATTTGGCTTCCTTTTCTTGTTCTTTATAGTTTATACGACTATGGTCAATAGTCAATACTAAATTATCTGTAGAAGTAAGTCAAGGTTTATATAGAATATAAACCTTGGAAGTAAATGGCGAGTTATGACTTATGGATAGCTATATCAGTGGCGATAGTTATCCGTTATTATAGAAAACGCATAGCTGATAACATGACTATATAGATTATTTCTACTCATATTTCATACGACGGCCGAAGAAAGCAGCGATGGCTTGTAATCATTATATTATCTTAAATTGTAAAGTAATAATTATTGTTTATTTTGTACACTTTAAGCTAAGAAGTTGAAACTTATTCCACTAACAATGCCTGACGATGAAATGGAAACATAATAATATTATGAAATTACTGATTTTGATTTGGACAATGATTAAATATACGAACAGACCTGGAGACGACTAACTGAAAGCCAAGCAATTTATGGTATAATATCTAAGTAGGTAATTATGTTAACGTTAATATATGAAATTCCGTAATTCTATAAAATAAAAAGTTATTCTGTAGAATTACAGGTACCTACCTACTTTCAGTTAATGTATTGAATGAATCCATAAATACATACTTCAACTATTCTACATAATATACTAACTAGATATTTTATAAACTAACAATAATGGTTTAGTTAATGTGTTTAAAACTGGTATTTTCTTTACATTATTTTTAGTAGGTACAAATAACAAAAAAAAAGTTGTTTTTATGTTAGTATTAAGTCAACCCGCTCTACATTATTATGTAAAATATTAATATTAATTTATTTCACGCCATTTTTTTTCAGTTCATATATCTTTCTGTCTCTACCTCCTTGTCCAATAGATAGGTGGATGTTAAGTAAAATATTGTGTACCTAATTTTTCGTCGTGGACGTAAAATATAATATCAGAATTATTTTTCATTGGAAGTGTAACGAACATATCTGTAACTTATACAGAAGTATAAGTTTTTCATTAGGTACCTTGTATCTATTTCTATCACACCATACCGTTGTACACTATAGAACACTGAAAATGATGAAACTAACTAGTAGTTAGAAGCGGGGGTACTCTGTCGGTATTCGGAAAAAAATCCCCGGAAAAAACCCCCGGATAAAAAATCCCCTAAGTTTGCTTCGTTGTGTTTGCTAAGTTTACTTATATTTAACTGTAAGTACATCTTAAATGGAGACAACAAAATATGTCGGTGTAACGTCCTCTTAATAAATGCGATTGCGATTACGATATAATAGGTACCGACTGACAAATTAGTTTCGGTCCAGGACGCATAACAGACGTAATCGCATTTTAGACAGATAAAGACATTATCGCGACGTATTGAAATCATTATAGTATGATTAACAAATAATTTGACGACATTTCTTGAACTTATAGTCTAGAAAAATATTATTGGTGGTCTATTTATTACCACTTCGCGGGCCGCCAATATTGCTAACGATATATTATTACGGTACAATACACCTTAGACGGTCAGTATACTTCTCTAGTTCCCACATAGTGTTGTAAAGAGTGTTATTGAAATAATTAAATCCACTCATGGAAATGATAAAGTTTGTTTCAAAGATTTTATGTACGTACGTCAAAAAGATGGCAAGTATTTTATTAGATGGAGATGTTCAAAATTTAGTTCATTCAAATGTCCAGTTATTTTAAAAACATCCCACACAATAAAAAATCCAAGAGAAATCCAGGAACATAATCATTCCGCAGATAAAAATGGTAAACTTTATTTTAATAATTTAATATACAATAACATTGTTTTTACATACTATATTGTTACATTACATACTAGGAAAAATTTTCGAGTCGAGTTCGAGTACTCGACTCGACTCAACTAAAAATTTGTTTGTACTTGTAACTACCAGTACTCGCTTTGAATCGAGTACTCGTATCACTATTTATATTATTAAAAATTTAAAATACTAGGTATAAATAGTATTTTATTGAAAAATAAATGTTAAAATTATTTAATTAATTAATTTAATTTAATAAAAAATTATTTATTATTTATTAATTTTTTTTATTACCTAGGTATTCAATATTATTTTTTTACACTTTTACAGCTGTATCCAACTATTAGTTATAGATATGGGGATTTTTTTTCCTAGATTCATTCTGTCACACTAATAAGCTAAGCCAAATTGTGTGGTTCAATTTTATCTTTATTATTATTTTTATTAATAAAAACAAATCGGCAACAAATCTTATTAAGATGAGGTATATTATGTATAAAATACGTATATTATGATACGTATGTACGTAAATACATATAAAAATATTTTTTTTCCTCATTATTAAGACCACCTAGTTACATAGTTTTAATATTGTCACTTGTCAGTATTGATCTTTATTGATATTCATTGATTCGTTATTAAATTATTATTGTATATCTATATCAATG